CAGGTACCGCCCTCACCGGCCGCGGCTGCGGAGCCCAGCCCTGCTCCGCGCGCGCAGGTGGGGCCCCGCCCCCGTCCCCCTAACCACGCCCCTCCGGCCTAGCAGCAGCTCCCGGCGTGGGGGTTGCCGGGTTCGAGTGCCACCGCTGCTACCTCCCGGAAATTGCAAATTCCTCAGTGACCCTCCTGTCCCCCGCAACTGGAACTTTTGGAGAGGGCGGGAATACAACGGGGAACTTTTGCCACTCTCTCCATGGGGCTCGTGCTTAGTCGAGACCGGAGACCGGCTAGCCCCTCCCTGACCGTTATAAGTTAGCAGAGGTGGGTGGGGAAAGAGCAATTGGGTTGTGCTTATTCGAAATAAAACATCCTCTCTGGTTGAACTTCGGTCGCTCCTCTTTCCCGCCTCCCCGTGGCGAAAGCGCTTCCCAAATGTGAATGGCTTAAAGTCGTTCAGATTTTAGAGGACAAAGTCCATAATCACAGGACAATCCAATACTTTTAGTTAAGTGTAAACTAACTTTGTAAACGTCGCCTTCCACAAACAGCCTTTACACGGCCACCTACAAAGGACGAGTTAAATTCTGGGGACAAGTAGATTAGACCTTTCCGTTCACCCACACTCCGTTTCCCTTTGAAAAATAAAAAGTTCTTGCAATCAGCTAAACTTATAAATGGCGACATTTTCTTTGCTTCGGGTCACCTGAGGGTCGTTTTCACCTTAGTGTGACGGGAGTGACTTAAATCCTATTAATTTCCTTGCAGAGACCTTGGAGGGAAAGAGGTTTTGAAGTTTTAAGGTTAAGGGAAGGAAAAGAAATGGTTCAGGCGTCGTCCCTTCGACTCTGGGGCAGAAAAGAGACGTAATCTGCCTTCCTCCGGGCTTACGCACTGGTCTAGTCTGCAAAAGAGTCTCCAGGGGACTCAACCCCAAACAGAACTCAAAGTCACAACCTGTCTTAAAATGCTCTCCACGAAAGACTTCTTAGCCACAGAGCAACTGAGTGACTGGCAAACGGAGTCTAACTTCATGGTGTAAGCTGGTTCCTCAGTGTGCCTTTCCCATAGCCAAATGTAGGAGAAGAGGACAATTACTCAATGCAAGAGTTGTCTTGTTTGGCTCTTACTGTTACATCATTCAAATGTTATCATATCATGTCAACAGTGTCTTCATTAAATACTCCAGTATGAGTAATGGGTGTGTTAAATAATTTAGAGAACTTCTTTTATTATATCCAAAAAGGATGGAGTCCCTCACCCAGAACAAATTACTCCATCTATGATTGTTTTGAGAGAAAATATGCCACCACACCAGAAAAAAAAAAATGATTTTTTTTGAGCCTAGCATGGTGTAATGCCAGCATTCAAGAGGCAGCATTCAAGCAAATCTCTGAGTTTTTAGGCTAGCCTGATTTACATAGTAAGTTCTATGTCACCTAGAATATATAGAAAAAACAAAACAAAAACAGAAAAGATTTTTCAAATTGTTTTTTAAGGAGAAATGATTGAATTAAGATTTGTAGATGTTAGCATTTCATCAGGATCACTTGGGATTGGTTTGTTGTTGTTTTGTTTTGTTTGTTTTTCAAAGACAGGTTTCTCTTTGTAGCCCTGGCTGTCCTGGAACTCACTCTGTAGACCAGGCTGACCTCAAACTTAGAGATCTGCCTGCCTCTGCCTCCTGACTGCTGGGATTAAAGGTATGTGTCACCACCTCCAGGCAGGATTATTATTTTTTAATTTTAAAAAATGATTAGTGTTTGTGTGTGCCAACACTCCTGCCGTGGCCGTGGAAATCAGAGGACGGCTGTGTGACATCAGCTCTGTCCTTCCATCTTTACCTGGGTCCTGGCGGTTGAGCTCAAATGAGTGGCGTTGTACCACAAGTACCTTTTTATGGGCTGAGCCATCTCACTGTCTTCGTAAGAATCACTTGTTAAAAAAAAAAAAAAAAGTCATGAGTACTGGGATTAAAGGCATGTGCCATCACTGCCCAGCAAGACTTATTATCAAATGCAGAACTGAACTTGTAAGTGGACTGAATCACCATTGGTTTCCCACTGATATAGGAACCTATAGGTTTAGATTTTCACTAAATGCCTTCTAACATGTACTTCCCATGTTAACGGGACACACACACTACACACGTTAGTAAATGTATGCAAAGTAGCTTTGTCAGACCAGCCATAGCTGGAGTAGGTGTATTCATATACAAATAAGAATAGGAAATCAGAGTTTTCTGACTGTGTAAGTAGAGGGGTGCGTATGGGGAACTCTTGTCAAAAGAGTAAGAGAAGGCCAGCAGCAGAGGTGTGGTTCACGGTGAAGGGCTTTCCTAGCGTGTGCAAGGGTTCAACCCCCAGCCATGAAAAAGGAAAACATAAAAACATAACACAGAAAAGGCACTATTCTATATGGTTTTATATTTTTACCAGATTTTAAGCAAAAGGTTGATAATATTTGACTTCTTCATAGAGTACTTATTTAGTTACTAAGCAGAGAAAAGGGTTAAACAATTTGAAAACCCAAATGAATAGAACAAGGAGGTCCATTTTTTTTCTCTCTTGAAATCAGCCAACTTATTGTAAGGCGGGTCATGAAACAGCATGCATGATATGATCACATGTTTGTTCCTGTAATTGCAGGTGACATTCTTACTGTGTGCTGAGGCAGAAGATAACTTATCACAGATTTAGCCTAAAGACTGTTACCAGTGCCTGTGTGATCTGGAAAAGGCATGACCTTGGGGGACAGGCAGACCATGTTGGAATGACAACAGTTTGCTTACTCTTTTTGCTTCGTTTTGTTTTTTATTTTATGTGTCTGGGTGTTTTAACTGCATGTATGTCTATGAATTACACGTATGCCAAGTGCCAAAGGAGTCCAGAAAAGGGTTTCAGAGACCCCAGAACACAGTTACGGACAATTGTGAGCCGATGTGTAGGTGCTGGGATTTGAACCCAGCCCACATTCTCTGCAGTCCGTGCTCTTAATTGCTACGCGATCTCTCCAGTCCCGGTTGCTTATTCTTTTGTGACTTTTCCTCCGTTGAGACAGGGTCTCACCATGTAGCTCTGGAATTCACTATCTGGACCAGACTGGCCTCAAATTCGCAGAGATCCATCTGCCTCTGCCTCCTGAGCCCAGGGACTAAAGGCATACTACCATACTAGGTTTTTGTATGACTTTTAGTATTTTAAGTAACTACTCTGAAACAGGTTTGTCCTAGTAAAATGGAAATAACAACATTCCCACCTTACTCTCCTTGGCTTACTATAAGGATTAGGTGAGAGAAGTTTCATAGAGCCCTTGACACAGAATGGAGCCAAGCAGATATGAGTCCTTTGTGCCCTAAAAATTGGGTCTTGATGCTGGCTTGGCATCTTTTGCCCATTTCTTTTTTGATGACTAAACATTTCAGCCCAAGAATAAAACCTGGATAAAAGGTTCAATGGCAGCTCAGGGGTTAAAGTTCAGCCGCTGTTGTGGTTGCCTTGGTACTGGCTGGGCTGGCTCTAGCTTGACACTGGCTAGAGCCATCAGAGAGGAAGGAACCTCAGTTGAGGAAATGCCTCCATGAGATCCAGTTGTGATTGATGGGGGAAGGGCCCAACCCATGGTAGGTGGTGCCATTCCTGGGCTGGTGGTCCTGGGCTCTATGAGCAGGCTGAGCAAGTCAGGGCAAGCAGCACCCTCCATGGCCTCTCATCAGCTCCTGCCTCCAGGTCCCTGGCCTGCTTGAGTTCCTGTCCTGACTTCCTCTGCTGATCAACAGTGATGTGGAAGTGTAAACCGAACAAATCCTTTCCTCCCCAACTTGCTGTTTGGTCATGGTGTTTTATTGCTGAGACAGAAGCCCTAACTGTAACTAACACCTTCCTCTACCACAGACGGTTTTCAGTGTGGGCTGATCTCACAAGCCAACTATTAAGACACTAACTCGGAAGAGAAATCGCGTTGGGTGACTTTTTGAAACATTTCATCACCTTGGAAAAAGACATTCCTCTGGACTTTGCATGCTCAAATGTGGCATCTGGGAATTCTGGAGCCAAATTCTGGACACAAGTGACACCCTGAATTTGGCAAAGCTGAATGATTAAAGAGACTCCTTGGGTCTTTGAATTAACCAGCTTTGAAGCTGCCCTACTTAAGACTTGTTATGTGAGACAATATGTTTTCTTAGCTTGGCATTGTAGCCCACACCCATAGTCCCAGCCTCAAAAGGCCTTGAGGCAGGAAGGTTGCTTAAGCCCAGGAATTTAAAGTCTGGTGGATTGACCAATGTAAAAAGAACCTCATCTCAAAATAAATAAGGAAAAAAATAGTGTGCTAAAATTTCTCTTAAAAATTCTCAGAGAGGGGTTTTGGTGGGGGGTCCTTCAGCAGGGAAGAATCTTGCTGCTCGTGCGAAGGACACAGTTTCTAAACCCAGCACCTACGTCAACCCACTTATGACTGTAAGTCCAGCTCTGGGGATCTGATGCCTCTGATCGCCACAGGAAACCCCTGTCTCCCCCACACATATACACACAGACACATGCACAAATACAAATAATTTAAAATCTTTTTTTTTTAATTCTAGGAGAAAGCTGGGT